TTTTTTTTTTTTTTTTTTTTTTCTCTAGGTTGAGTGCTACTCTCTTGGTTTTCACTCAAGCTCTTTTTTTCACTTGATTCTGTTTCAATCTCTACTTTTGCATCAGCCTCTTGCCTTTTCTTTTCAAGTTTGGAATGATCAATACTTTTGGAGACAATGGAACAAGAGTAGTTTTTCTACCATTGTGAATAAAAGAGTACCCGACGATCAAATAGTCAAGGCCTCCTTAGTAGTAAATCTCCAACATGCATGCATACAACATCACATAAAACATCATCAAAATATTTTCCAATAGTAAAAGAAACAAGAGCTTGTTGAGTTACCCGTACTTCCCCCGCAATCATTCAACCATTGAAGCTTGTAGGGTCTTGGATGTTGTGTCTTTAAATTAAGTCTTTTGACCAGAATGAAACTCACAACATTGGTGCAACTACCGCTATTAATGACAACACTACAAGGTATAGATTGAACAAGACACTGAGTTTGAAATAAGTTCTCTCGTTGGTCTAGGTCGTCCTCCTTAATGTGGGTGTTTAGAGCTCGTTGAGTAACCAAAGATATATGTGTAGGGTCCTCTTTACTAAACTCCTCACTCTCATCAGTTTCCTCATTTATGTCGTCATGTTCCTCTTCATCCGTAACAATTTCTCCCCCCTTGATGGTCATAATTCTTGCATTTGAGCAATCTCTACTATAGTGTCCTACCCCTTGACATCTCCATCGCTTTAAATCCCTACTTCGATAATTAGACTTTTCTACTTTTTCTTTCCCTATTCTAGAACTCTCACCTTTCTCAAATTTAGCTTGAGGCTTCTCATTAATCTCTTGATTTTTATGCTTATAATCAATTTTCTTACTATCCTTTTTCCAGGTAGAAGTAGAATTGGAAAAAGTTTTAGAAGAATACCGTTGAGACCTTTGTTGGATTTGCCTCTCTATCTTAATTGCAATGTGCAACAACTCCTCGATATCAAAATAAGGTTGTAAATCAGTCTTGTCTGCAATCTTTGTATTTAACCCATTAAGAAACTGCGCCATGAGATCCTCCATGTCCTCATCAAGATCAAGTCGATCCATCAATGTATCCATCTCCTTGTAATAATCTTCCACAGATTTTTGTCCTTGTTTCAATGCTCGAAGCTTTTGCGCCATGTCCCGTTGAAAATATTGTGGAACAAAACACTTCCTCATGGACTCTTTGAACTCGTACCATGAATCAGTTGGTGCTTCAAGGTTTCTTCTCCTACTTCACATCAATTTATCTCAACAATTTTGAGCATATTGTTTGCATTAAGCAATGCATAACAGTACCTTCTTTTCATCACTAAAATTATGACAGTTGAACACCGACTCCACCATTTTCTCCCATTGAAGGTACTCCTCTGGATCGGTTTTGCCATAAAACTCGGAAAGTTTTAATTTGATGCTCCCCATGTTACGATCAATTCTATCATCATAAGGAACGCGTTGTTGTAAATTATGATACTTTCTTCCATGGTCTCTCCCTCGTGTCAAACCACAACCAACCGCATGTGGATTATCCTCGTGTTGATCAGAATTGTTGCCCTCATATATATTGGTTGAGGGTGCAGGTGGTGGAACCCTGTGTCGAGCTTGATTTTGAATCTCCAATATTTCTATTCGATCTGTCAACTCTTCGATTCCTCGAATTAGTCTTTCCATGGTTCGTTGTTGTGCTTCTTTCAATCGTGCATTAGTAATGTTAGGATTGTCGTCTGGATTTTTCAGGCTACAAAAGAAAGTTAAAAGAAAAAAAAAAGGACCTCATAAGCGCTCCCTCACGTGTGTTCACTCGTGTTTAGCACTCAACCTTCGAATCAATGTATCATTCCCTTACAAAATCACCCTCACAATTGAGCACAAGCAAATCACACTCTAAAAAAAAATTGCGACATGAGACAAGCTATGTTATAGAGCTAAGTGCAATTCAAAGTGAATAGACAGCACACTTAACACATAAACAAGAGTATTAAAGGAGCAATTTGAATAACGACAAAAAAACGAATTAAAGAAAGAAAATGAATGAGGACTAATTTAGATGTAGTAACATATGAGAGCTACATATAATAATCCAGAAGTAAAAAAGAAGACATTTAACGTCAATAAGATTTTTTTTTCTTTTTTTTCGGTAACTAATTGGCAAAATCTAATCAATTTACTAGCAAGAAAATTGATTTAGAAGATCCTAGAGAAGAACAAAGTGTTCCATTTCTAACACTTTATAAAATATGTCAACATGAATTAAAGCACATAAATAATTTTTTTTTTTTAACATAAATAATGTTTTTTTTTTCTTTCTTTTTGGCTATATATTTTTAAGATGGAATGTGAACATGCTACACAAACTGAAAATATATACATCGATGACAATCAAAAGAGATAAACTCAAGAAAACATATTTCCGATCTTAAGCCTAAAGCTCTAATACCAAATGATATGGAATCAACCCAAGGAAAAGTATGGAACGGATTACCTTGACGATCAAAATCAAGAGTAAAGAAAATTCATTTCTAAACTTGTGATTCTTAGCTCTCAAGAAAGCTACAAAAAATAGAAATTCTATTCTTTTTAATTCCAAAATGGGATGACTCTAATCAAAGAAAAGAAAGTTTTATATGTGACACATAATTCTCAAATTAAATTGGCTAGTAAATGAGAAATGCCCATAACTTTCATATTAAAATGGCTATGGTGGAATATGGTAAATTAAGTCGGTTACAATATAAAAACTCCTATATTAAAAATTAAATTATAATTAAATAATGCAATGAATTTAATATGCTTATTAGTCATAGACTAGTTTCATAAATTCAGATGGAGTTCATTAAATGTCACTTAGAGTGCATTTAATGCATCTCTTTCTTGAAGCTCAACTTTGGACAACATATAATAGAGGTCTCCAAAGTCTTCTAGATTTTCCTTTGATGAGCTCACCATAGCTTGAATATAAGTGTACAAGGTTTGTTGTAGCTTCTTGACTCTCGTTCTTGTAATTGGACCTTGAGGTATGAAAATTCCTTGGTCGTGGTTCATATCACACACCGCCCCCTCAAGCTACACCATGGGCTGGATTGGACCTCACCACACGAATGATTTTAGAATCGCTCCAGATGACGATGCAAACAATGTTGGCTACAAAACAGGCCACATTGTTAGCTACGCAACAAGTCGCAGCAATGGCCACGCAACCAACCAATGCAACGGCCACACAACCAGCTAATGTGATGGCTACACAACCAACCAAAAATCTGCAACCGGACAGGGGGACGAATTGGTTAAAAGACTTCACACGGTATGACCCCCGTCCGTTCATCGGTTCAAAGGAAGATCCCACATCAGCTCAGATGTGGATAGTAATCATGGAAACGACCTTTGAATCAATGAGGTGCCCTAATGACCACAAAGTAGCGTGCGCGACATATGTACTACAAAAGGACGCATAAGGTGGAGAACAGATAACAAACAGAATATCAACCCGGGAGAGGGGATCACAACATGAGAAACCTTTAAGGAAGCCTTCCTGAAATACTGCTATCAAAGGAAAACTCGTATAAAAAAAACAGCAAGAAATTAACCACCTGATCCAAGGCTTACACACTGTGGATCAGCAGGAATTCATGAGATTAAAGAGGTTCGCACCATCACTAGCACACACTGAAGAAAAACAGACAGAAAAATTTGTGTTGGAGTTGAACCCGAAGACCCGCCTCATGTTGGAGGCATTTAACCCGAAAACTTACGAAGAGGCCCTGAGGACGGCCAAGGCCCTCGAGGAACCTCCAGAGGAGAAAAACTCGGAGCCAACGGCATTCGTAGGAAAGAAACGTCCCGTTGAGGCGAACCCAAGAAATTCCAACTGCCACTCAAGAGACCTCGACATCAAGACGAACGACCTGCTCCGCCTCCAGTACCTCGATACCTAGTACCAAAAAAACCTCTGTGTCACGAATGTGGGAAACAACATTGGGGCAGATATATGGCAGGCTCGAGGGTATGTTACACGTGCGGTCGTGCAGGTCACACGGCCCAATTTTGTATTGGAACGGACGCGAGAAACCTAAGGGGACCCCCTAGAGGAGTGGTTATTCGAGTACCCACCACGCAAACCCGTGCACAGACCAGGGCATATGCAACGACCAGTAAAGAGGCGGGAACGTCTGGCACCGTGGTGACAGGTACGCTTTCTATACTAGGACACTTTGCATTGACGTTGTTTGATTCAGGTTCTACCCATTCATTTGTTTCTTTGCCATTTGTTAGTCAAGCAGGGTCCGTAGTAGAGCCCTTGATGAATGTATTGTCGGTCGGTACCCCAGCAAGAGTAGACCTGGTTACTGAAAATAGAGTAAAAGACAGACAAGTGGTAATAGTTGGACGAACCATCCAAGTAGACCTAAAAGTAGTAGATATGACGGATTTTGATGTCATACTAGGAATGGACAGGCTAGCCGAAAACTTTGCTAGCATGGACTACCATAAGAAAGAGGTAGTATTTACACATCTAAACGGACTTACCTTTAAGTTTAAAGGAATCTTCACAGGCACCATCCCAAAAATAATATCGATGATGAAAGTCATACGCCTGGTATAACAAGGGGGGTGAACGATTCTAGCTTGTGCGGTGAACACAACAGGAAAAGAGAAAAAATAGATTCGGTACCCATAGTAAACGAATTCCAAGATGTCTTCCTAGAGAACCTTCCGAGAATCCCTCCATCGTGAGCAGTAGATTTCGGAATAGAACTTGAACCATAAACGAGACCCATCTCTAAAGCCCCGCCCCAATAGAACTAAAAGAACTTAAATCACAACTACAAGACCTATTAGATAAAGACTTCATTCGATCTACTGTATCCCCTTGAGGTGCGCCAATGTTGTTTGTTAAAAAGAAACTGGCTCTATGCGTCTATGCATTTACTACAGAGAATTAAACAAGAGGACGATAAAGAACAAATATCCATTACCCCGCATCGAGGACCTATTTAACCAACTTCGAGAGGCAACAGTGTTTTCCAAAACAGACCTTCAATCACGATACCATCAAATTAAGATTAAAAATAAAAATATACCAAAAATAGCCTTTCGAACCGGATATTGTCACTATGAGTTTGTGGTAATGTCCTTTGGCGTCACCAACACCCCAGCAGTATTTATGGAATTAATGAACCGAGTATTCAAGGAGTGCTTAGACACGTTTGTGATCGTGTTCATAGACGACATCCTGATATACTTGAAAACAGACGAAGAACACCAAGAACACCTCTGAATAGCCCTAACTATTCTAAGGGAGAACAAATTATATTTCGTTCTTGGGACACGTAGTGTTTAAAGATGAAATTTTAATAGATCCCACCAAGATAGGAGTCGTCACAAAATGGAAACGGCCAACTACGGTTAAGTTTATAGAGAGTTTCTTTTGGATTATCGAGTTTCTTTTAAAGACCTTAAATATGTTGAAAATTTATGAAAGAGTAATGAGGAAGATCATGTGTTCATAGATAAATAACACCATCTCCCTTATAGGCCTTTTGTGAAAACTAAAATTAAGTGAGAGCTCATTGCTCAAAATGGAGCATATCATGCGGTGAGAGATTTGTGGTTTCTAATTTGGTATAGAGTCACATTCCAATTTTCTTTTTGATTTTTTTAGAAATTATATTTATTTTATTATAATTTTCATTTAAATATTTAAAATAATTAGGCATTCAATTTATAAATAAAATATTTTGAAAGCCGAGCATTTAACTTATTTGTCAACCAACATTTATATTAATAATTTTGAAATTTTCATATCTACCTTAACACTTTACCTTACTAATTTATATTCAAAGAAAATTATGATATAATAATAAATAAATAAATTAATTAATTAATTAATTAGAATGGTTAAATAATATTTAAAAAATAAATAAATTACCGGTAATTGATCCAATTAAAATAATTGCAAATACTTACAATGTTAAAATTTAGTAAATAAAGCAAAAATAATAATTGAAAACAAATCGTTAAATAAAACCTACAAAAACAATCCAATCAAAACTAAATCAGCTAACCAGTCGTGGAAATATCTGAGAGAGATTTGAAAATTCAGTCATTTTTTTTTTTCTATTTTTGAAAAAAAATGAGTACGATCCCATATTAATGTTTAAAATTAGAAAATAAGTTTTAATGATATCCCAAATTTTTCTCAATAGAATTTCTTTATAAATAGGAGTGGCAATTTTTTTTTTATAAACAGGAGTGCAGTGACGAACTTTTTCATAAATAGGAGCAGTGACGAACTTTTTCATAAATAGGAGCAGTGACAATTAAGTTCATAGGGAGTAAAAAATGATGAACCTTCCTAATTTCATCCTTATTTTATTCGGGTTTTTTTGGTTAATATCACCTATCATTGCTCTCAAAAAGGTACTATCACGGTTCTTCTTAGGTTTACAAGTATTATTATACGAACCCTAATTTTATTTTTTTTGGATTTCAGTCCTATATAGTGTTATTAGGATCTCACTCACATGGGTTAGAGGTATCAGCAGTAGATCTTCAAAGAGTGGTCGATTCCCATCACAAATTGCTCGGATCCTTGTTGGGGAGGTTTGAAGTTTGATTTTTTTTTTTTTTTTTTATCAAATATAGTTATTATTATACTATTTTGAATTAATAAAAATTGAAAATTTTCAGTTCTGAAAAGGCCAAAGATGCCATTTTTCACTCATATAAGAACCATATAAATGGGTTTGCAGCAATTCTAGAGGAGGAGGAGGCCACCAAGCTTGCAAGTAAATACCAAATTATTTTAATTTTAATATATATATATATATATATATATTTAAATAATAATTGATAATAATTTATGGGACAGAGCACCCAGAAGTAGCAGCAGTGTTGCCAAACAAAGCCAAAGAGTTACACACAACTCATTCATGGGAGTTCATGCATTTGGAGAAGAATGGTGTTGTTCTCCCTTTTTCTCCTTGGAGGAAGGCTAGATTTGGAAGAGATGTTATTATTGCCAATCTCGACACCGGTAAATATATATTATCTTTTACTCGTTCATGGTAAATATATATTATCTTTTACTCGTTCATGGTAAATATATATTATCTTTTACTTATTCATATAACTCATCAAATTAACATGAAATATCTAATTTAGATCATAAAGGTTAGTTTGATTGTGAATTCTATTTGGGTTGGTCGTTACTGACCATGTACCTAATCTAGATCATAAATGGATTTCATCGACCATTTACCTAAATTAAATCATAAATATTAGTTAAGATTATGGAATTTATTTGGATTATTTGGGTAAATTAAATGTTTTTTTTTTTTGTTAAAAAAAAAAAAGTGTGTGTGGATTTTATTTGGATTATTTGGATAAATTAAAAAGTTAGGTCTATTAAATGTTTTTTTTTTTTTTTTTTTTTTTTT